TACTAATGCATGAAAATCCTAACCTCAAAAAAATCACCCGTTAGTTGCAAGTTTTTTGTAAGACAATTGAAAGACAGTAGGCAAGATAGTTTGTAAGATTTGGTTTATTCTTGCACGAAAGTCTTACCAAAAAAAGCTCACTTGCCAACTTTGACGGTGAAAAGCTCTCTTTTTAGAAAAAGCACTTGTGCAAGTTACAAGTGAAGAGGTATGTACATATATTATTTTGCTCGCGCTGCTCCAGCAGTCGTAATGGCCGAGTGGGCAAAGCACTGGCGTGCCATTCCAAAGATCCTGCGTACGAGAACTATGGCATCGTGATGTTTTTCACTTTTACTTTTAAACTCAGTATTTATTTTAATTTAATATTTTACCAGGGACTGAAAATAACCATTGCATACCAAGATTCTTATACGTATTTAGATCATTGTGAAATCGTTAAACTTTGATTTTTATTTTTTCGATAAAAATATAATAATTATTTTAGGATTTTTATTTTTTCGATAATTATTAATCGTTTCTTTTCTGATAAAAAATATTGAATCTGAAAATAACGGTTGTGGGATGATCGAAAATAAAATCTAAAAATAACGATTATTTTTATGTCGAAAAAAATTAAAATCATAAAATAACGTTTAAATTTGTTCGGCCAGTCTTTTATTAATTTTTATTTTTTTATTTTTTTTTCATTTAAATTTTTTTTCAGTTTTAAGATTTTATTTTTTTTCCATTTAATTTTTTTTTTCAGTTTTAAGATTTTATTGTTTCAAAAATATAAATATATATTTTAATTTTAATTTAATTTTTATTTTATGTATTTTTTCTAATTTAGATTTTTTTTTCTAATTTAATTTTTAGAAACATTTGCTTAATTTTTTTTTTCGTTAAATCTGTGTTTTTTTTTAATAATTTATTTTTTCTTTTATAATAAAGTTTTCTTTAATTTTTAGATATTTAAATAGAAAAATATATTTTATTTATTTTTTATTTACGATTTTTGTTTTACTAATTTTTCTTTATTTATTTTAACCCTTTTTTATGCTTCATTTCTTCCTTGGTTTATCTATTTTTTTTTTTTTTAATTGACAATATTTTTTAAATTTAATTTTCTTTCAATTTCGAAATTTTACTGTTGTAAAAAGAAAAATATTTTTCATATTTCATTTCATTTTCAGCAATTTAATTTTCTTTTTTATTTTAATTTTAAAAAGAAAAATATATATTTTTTATTATCATTCAATTTTGAAAATTTGCTTTATT